TCCTCTGGAGATGTGAGATGCTCAGAGGGTAGCAGCAACTCCTATGCCCACGCTGGTTCAACCTCCCAGGGCTCAGGGCTTCCCAAACCTGCAGCCACTGCTTAGAGCTCTTTCCACTCACAGGGCCCAAGGATGCCCAAACACCCGATGACAGACAGATGGGCCTGAGGCAGAGAACCAGAAACACCTGACTATCCTGGATACACTGGGGCCACCAGAAACCTCAGGATTAACTGAACAGCAACTGCTGATGCTCATGAGCCCAGCCATACTCAGAACCTATGCCACGCCTGGCTGCCTCCTTCTCTTCACTTCCTAGTGAGGAACCCGGGCCCCCAAAGCTGCTGGCTCCTTTAGAAATACCCCAAGAGGATGCTCCTGGCTGCAAGGCCTCCAGCAGTATCAGTGTGCCTGGTTATTCCCTGGGCACCTGCCCAGCATGTCCGGGTGCAGCGAACAGCAGGAAGCCCTATGGCTGCAGAGAGGTGGGAGAGTCTGGGCCACTGGCACCCGTGAGCATTGTCCTGGATGAGAACCCTGGCCACTCTGACCCAGCTGGCAGGACCAGTGACAGCCGAGGAGGGAAAGTCTCAGGAATGCCTTCGGAGTGTGACAGCCAAGTCCAGCCAAGCCCTCGGGAGCCAAGACCAAGGGGCTTCGTCGACACAGGGGAATGGCCAGGCCTTGTCGCCATCCCAGAGGAAGATAGGCCCTGCAGACCTGTCTCCAATGTCAAGCCCTCCCTTCCAGTCTCCATAACAACGATAGCTGTGTTTGCTGAGCACCAATGAGCCAGCTGCTGAGCTAAGCGATTTTACATCAGTATCTCATTGAATCCTCAGCAGAGTTTTGTAAGTTAAGTGCGAGGGAGACCCTCACAGGTGAGCCAGAAAATATGGTGCACAACCTAATTTGTGCACCATATAAAAGCTTGAGACAACAAGTAATGGTGGCATGAAAGGAAACAGTTCTTCCCAGAGATCTAACAGAGAAAGGAATGCGTGGTGAGTTAAGTGGGAAGACAGGAAGGCATTTCACAGGAAAGATATGCAGCCAGTTCTTCAGAAGAGATCCTCCACCAGGGCAGTCACTGACACTCCGGCAGAAAGAGGGGCCAGCTGTGGCTGCACGCAGAAGACTTCCCTCACATCCAAAGAGTCAAACAAAACCCCTCCGAGTTCTAACCAGGCCCAACCCTGCTTAGCTTCCGAGATCAGATAAGATCGGGCAAGCTCAGAGCGGTATGGCTGTAGCCCCTGTAGCTCAGCTGGTTGGAGCGTTGTCCCAATGTGCTGGGGTTTCGGGTTCAATCTCTGGTCAGTTCACATTCAGCTGATGGACTGATGGATGCATAATTGGGCGAAACAACAAATTAACCTCCTTCTTTCTCTCTCTCACCTGGTTTCTGGCTTTTCTCAAAAATCCAGGCTGTCTGGCACCACTGGGCCCTCCTTCTGATGTGGCAACATAGGCTGGAGCCAAGAAGCTGCTCCTTTTTTCTGAGCCTGTATGCTTGGGAGCAGCACAGTCTCCACCACCCCCTAACACCTTTCACCTGGTCCTTCCTGTGATTTGCACCATCTCCCCAGTTTGACTCCATGGAGCCGCGGGTCCTTCCACGGCTGAATGGTAGAGTCCTGCTGCCACCTGGTGGTCACAGTTCACATTTCCTCGTTGCACAGCCTTGATGCTCCTCATGTGATACCATTTGCTCTGATTATTTCATTTACTTCTCTCACCCACCCTGTGAGGACAGGAATTGTACCCGTTTTACAGATGAGAAACCAGAAAGGGTAAGTTCAGAAATTATCAATAAGAAAACAGATGAGTTCTGGGAGAACACCTTGTAAAGTATATGATCGTCTACTAAGCTGTACACAAAATAATACCAAAGGTGATTGGAAAAATAAATACTATACGTAAGAGGAAACACATGAGCAAGGTCAAGTGAATGGGTTGTTCGGGATTTTAGCTCCTTGTGATGTTGCCAGGAATGGAAACCGGCTCTGTCTGTACCCTTGTCCGTGGTATTTAGTCTCTTCCCTGCCACAACAGGCCTTAAACTGACTTCTATACTGGAAGGTAGGTCCTGGTAAAGGGAGCCAAGACTCCTAGAGATAAGCCAGAACTCTACCATGAGCACTTTGGAACTGATTGGGGAGGTCAGGGGAGACTGGGACCTTATCAAACTTCACATGCAGGTAAGTGCGTTTGCTACTGCCTGTGGGCAGGTAGGCCTTGAACTCAGGTTTTCTAAGGCAAAATCCTGGACACTCTCACTACCTCCCCAGGCCTGAGAAGGCCTCTCTTTCGCCTCCCCCCATCCTATTTATCTCCCATGGCCCCACACCTGCTCCAACTCTTCCAAGATGCCTTCATGACCACCTCCCTCTTGTCTCCTGCCCTGTGGGGCCAGGTAACTGTGTGATGCTCGTTTGTCTTGCTTCTCCAGCTGGCTGGGATTCCTCAGAAGCAGGGCTTCTGTGTTCCCCTCCCCTCTGGTATGTTTATTGGAGCAATAGGTATAGAACATCTATTACCTGAGGCCCGTGCACACTCAGGGAGCTTCCTGGATGCACCAGAGCTTGCACCCTAACATACATCACACATCCCTGGGCCTGTCACTGCTCTACTTTAAACCTTTTAGTGCCCCACCTCCTCCTCAAACCCTCCCCCCACCCCACCCTCTGGCGGCATAGCCCTCAGAAAACCAAAGCTCCTTACCATGCCGACCTCTCTATACCATCTCTCACAACACCCACAACCCCTACACACACCATGTTCTCGCTCCACAGCATTTCAGTTTCCTGACCAACAGTGCTAGCTCTTACCTCTGGGCCTTGGCACATGCCCTCCTTCCCACCTTCGCTCAACCCTAGTGACCCATCAGACCTCAGCTTGGATATCACTTCTCTCAGGAAGCCTTTCTTAGCTGCCAGGTCTGAGTCAGGGATGGACAACCCTCCCATTCCCCCAGCCCCAGGCTCTGGTGGTATCTATTATTGCCCCAACACCCACACTGCATGTAACACTGCTGACTGGCCTCTATCACCAAACTGTGGGCTTTGGGAGGCCACAACTGTCTGACTTCTTGCTGTATCCCCACCAGCTAAGGCCAACTCCAGGAGGCACCCAAGGTGGGCTATAGACACTTCTTAAGTGAACACAGGAATGAATGAGGTGCCATTTTTAGGTGTAGCAAGTACCCTGAGAACAAATGTCACCCTGGAGGATCTGAGTATCCAATGGTTAGAGACACACAAATTCAAGAGGCATTTTTATCTTTGAAGTCCTTTATTCCCATTGGTTCATATAAGTTATTCACCAAGCTAGAGCTCATCACATTAACCAAGAATCCACTCATCCTTCCTTTGATATTGTAATCTTGTCCTCGTGTCCAAAACTGGGCTTGGGCCCAGAAGGTTAAAGAGGTGTCACTCTGCTGCAGAGAGCAAGGGATCAGTCTTCCACTCTTAGAGTATTGTTCAGTTCAAAGGCAAATATCTTAGCAGCCTCAACAGTGAAATAAACAAGACACAGTGCAGTGGTCCTAGGCATTTGGGGGGGGGGGAGGGGTGGGAGGGAGGAACACATTATGAAGTCCCCTGGAGAAAATTCAGGCCATTCTCCATCTTCTCAATATGCATTTTCTCACCCTTCAGTGACTTTCAATCTCATCCCCTGGTCCATGAGAAACCATAACCCATGTGCTACTGATACATTTTTATTTTCCCTTCACGAGATCCATTTAGTTCCAAGTGTATTTCCGTTTCCTCCCCTGTGCCTACAAGAACATCCAATTTTGTGCAGGTCCCTTTTAACGGCACTTATTAAATATACATTCTGGGACCTGACAGAACAGGCTGTCCTGTTTCAAACCACTTCTAAAGCTGCCTATTCAGAGCCACTGAGCTGGCACAAGGCACAGAGGGACACATCCTGGCTTACAGGACTCTCTTGTCCACCACTGCGTGCCTAGTACAGAGGTTCCCAACCTGGCCGCACACCCAGCACCTGGAGAACATCCCGAGGTCCTGAGGCCCAGACCACTCCCCAGGCCAATTCCATCAGAGTCTCCAGGTGGGCACAGTGGAAAGCTGCCCAGGGGCTGCAGTGAGTGGCCACGCTGAGAATCCCTGAGCGAGGGTTCTAGCCCAGGGCAGGCTCTCGGTAGGTACTGTGGGACCACAGATGGATTTATGTTATTGTCTGCTCCCCACTGCTTCCTATTTGTATCAGAAACCTGAGCAGGAGAGAGAACGGAAAATAAATCAAGAGCATCTTGTAAAGTGAACTGGAACCGGGAAAGGAATTGTGGGAACTAGCTTCCCTTGCATTATGCATTCTTCACGCTTTCACAAGCCCAGAGGCGGTGCGGGGCAGACTGTCTGGCACAGGCGTGCACTGGTATATACATCTCAAAAGCCCTCCACAATCCAGGCACTGCGGTGATAACAACAGAGATGTTCTTGGAACGAAGTCTCAGCTGCCACCTGTTTTTACAGACACACTAACTTGGGTTGGCCCCGAATTTTGTCGTTTGTATTAAAGACCATGCTGGGTCACCCTTGTGTTCTTCTGTGAGCCTCACCATTTATCCTAGCCCACACTGACATCCTAGAGGTGATTCAACAGCAGCTGCATCCAAAATTGCCCCAATGGGTCATTCTTTATTGAGGGGCTTCCATTTCCAGGTTTTAGGAAGTGATGACAATAGATTCGATCTCACCAAGTTCACGAGTTTGGCTCCTGGACTGCAGCATTGAGAAGGAGCCCGCGGCAGACCCTGGGTTTATGGGAAAGGACGCCGCGTGGATTAGCAATGCCTGCCGTGGGCAGGGGAAGTAGCAGAATGAATGCTGATGTGGGGGCCAACCTGAGACCACTTCCGGCACATCCTGCTACCGACGGTAACTCACATTTATATGCACAATCTGCAAGGAGCTCCCATGCCCTTCACCTCGCGCCAATCCCACCGCAGTCCTGTGAGTTAGGGCTTTATGGATGGGAAACGTGAGGTTGTGTCCCACAGCAAACATCAGTCCGCTGCTGCTCCAGGCCCTCAGTGGCCTCCTGAAACCACCGGGGTTTCCCCCGCTTCCAGAAGCAGGAAACCAAGCCATGACCTAACCTCCCCCACCCACCGGGCCTGCGATCACCTGCTTCAGTTTCCTCTGGGATTTGCATGTCCCTTTGTCTCCTGTTCAGAGAACACAGCAAAGGTGTGCAACTGCTTGGCAACAGCCTCGCACACCCCACCCAACACACCCTCCAAATCTCTCCCCTGGAACAGGCTCTGAATGTACCTACACACATTCCAGAACTGTGACCTGGCCACACCCACTCCCAGGCCTGGGCAAGACTGTCCTGGAAGCCTGTCCGCTGTCCCAACAAGAACCAGCTTCCCAACCAGAGAGGGGATCTCAGGGGTTCACTGCCCACGATACCTCACTCCCAGCATGGAGAACTAAAGATGACAGATGGGTCAGCTGCGGTGCCTCCTGGTACCACAAGTAGGAAGTGGACTGTGAGGTCAGCAGCCCTGGGCTTCTCCAGCGCCCCTCTCTACACCCACAAAGCACACGGGTGACATTCACCGGGGTGGCCATCTCCCTGGGCAGGCCCAGAGGGGAGCCCTAGTAGGACTGGCCATTAGCTACAGCAAATCCATATCACTGTGACCTGCCATCCTCCACGCTGTGACTCCAGGCTGGAACAAGCTCTTCATGAAGACATCTAAGCCATTCTGGCTGGAGCCCTCTGTGCCCGCCCACACCAGGCATTATGCAAGGGCAGTGCCCAACCCTTCTGGCTGCCTCCTGGGTGCCCTTCACCCACCGCATGCTGGCTTCTCCCCACTCCACCCTGCCTGCTCTTTCTTCTCTTCCCTCCTGGGTCACAGCCTCTAATCCTCCTCATCCCTTGGCAACTTGGGCTCCAAGGAGGGCAACCTAGGAGGGCAGACTCCAGCCCCAGGGAGCCGGGCTCGGGGCCCTGGCCAGGAAGCTGGCAGGCACATATCCCCTCCGTCCGTCCACTTCCACGAGGCTCCATTCGGGGTTCCCCTTCTTGTTCTGGGGCTCCAGGACGGCCACTGGCTGGCCTGCCTGCAGGCTCACTTCTTGGCTGTTTCTGGCCACAAAGGGGTACATTGCGACCACCTGAAACGTGGGAGTGACACAGCGATGGTCAGGGTGGGGAGACAGACAGACCCCGCCCAGGAAGGCTGTTGATCCCTCCCAGCCAATCAGACCCCGCTGCTGGGCAGGCATCGCCTCCCAAGCATATCCTTGGTCTCTCTGTTTCTGCTGCTCCCACCGCTAACACGCACGTGGCAGGTTCTCTCCCAGCGCTTTGCCTGCTTTTGATTGTCACAATTCTGTGACTCCAAATGCCCCATTTTTCAGAAATGGACACTGAGACTCAGAGAAGTTAAGGAACTTGTTCAAACTCACACGGGTGGTTTTTAACGTGTCCTCATGGCTGTGCAACCATCACTACTGTCGAATTCCAGAACATCCTCATCACCCCAAAAAGAAACACCACACCCGTTAGTGGTCACTTCCCATCCCTCCCTCCCACAGCCCCTGCCAACCACCGACCTTTCGGTCCCTGAACATTTCATATACATGCAATCATACAAGGCACGGCTCTCTGTGTCTAACTACGTGTGGGAGCATGCCCTGGCACTTCCTTTGTCTGGGCCCCACCCCTGGCCAGGACACTGGTGTGGCCACCCACCAATCAAGGCCCCAGACTCATTGGTAGTGGCCTCTCCAGAGAGGAGGAAAATCAGAGCCCCTCTCCAGACAAGCCCCCCTGCACTCCCAAACTCACCTGGGTCCCGGTTGGAACAGCGGCCACCAGGCCTGGGCTGGGATCCGGTGCTGGATGCCGGGAGGCCTCACCAGGCCCCGCCTGCCCCCCGAGCTTCTCCTCCCGGGGGACGATCTGGTACGGCTCCAATTTCCCAGCGGGCACATACCCTCGATGTCCTGTGGACACAGCGAACGGTAACTGGCTACGGGCCACCTTCCCCACCCCTCTGCGTGAGGGAGGACATCACTGCCATGCATGGATGACAATGCCACCAACACAGCTTCTCGGCACTAAAAGGACATCTAGAAACCTCTCAGCCCCTCCTCCTCCCCCTTCTGCTTGCACACCCCCAGTGACAGGCAGCTCATTCCCTCCTGAGGCGGCCCACTTGGCTCTGAACGCTCTGACAGAGAGCAAGTTCTCCTCGGTCTGTGATGAAAGCTGCTCCCCCGGCCCCTTTCCCCTGAGGCAGCTGCTTCCTTACCCAGGACTGCCTTTCTCTTCTCCAAGAGCCCGGCTCCTCCTCATGTGGAACTACTCCAGTGCTGTTCTGGCCGCTGTCATTAGGAACGGCCACCCTAGGTGCCAGGCCGGCACTGATCACCTAGTCTTCACACCAACTCCCATCTTGCTGCTGAGCCCGCCGGGCTGGGGAGGCTCCGACACTTCTCCAGCTCTGTGCAGCTAGTGAAGCGGTGGGACTGGGGTCCACACTCAGTCCTTGTCCTCTCTTTCCCCCCGCCTTCCCCCGCCAGGAGCCTTGCTTTAATCCTCACTCAGTTGTTTTCAGTGTAAGTCATGTGACTGTTCTTCTACCATTTCTGCTGGATTTAGACTCTTTTCTTAATGTTTTCATAGAGTCACTTTTTAAAATCTGGTCTTGTACTACACAATAATAAATAAAGTCATGGGTTTATAGACTAGTTATTTTTTCTAATAAAATTAACATCCTTAAGTAGCAATGGTAATGAACTGTCTGATGGGGGAGGGACTGTCCACAGACCCCTCCCATCATCCTGTGTAACCCCAGCCTCTGGGCCACATAGTCTTTGGAAGTTGCTCCACTGGTCCATCTCTTCCTGGGTTCATGGTGCCCCTTGTCTCCTGCCTGACTACACTGGGGCACCCAGACCTGAGCACCACACCCCTAGGGTGTGACCAGTGCACAGGAAGATCCCCTTCATTCTGGACATCAGACACCTGTCCATGTAGCCGGATCCAAACACCCCCTTCTCTGACTCACAGGGTGATGCTGAAGTTCTATCCACCCCATGGTCTGTGAGGTCCCCAAGGCAGGGTCCTTGTCTCCCTTGCACGGCGCCTAGCACCCTGGGTGCTGGATAATAGATGTGGCGATGGAAGACTGAACCCCTCTTTTTGGCCTTTCATGCACCACCCTGACCTGGGTATGCTCCAAGCCCTGCATTTCGCCTGGGCTCAATTCCCTCCTTGGATTTGCAGGCCAGACTCTGACCTCTGAGGGCACCTGTGTCTCCCACTGGTCCTGTTGGGTCCTTTCCCAGAGGGAGGGGAAGGGCCCACAAAGTCCCACATACCCCCGGTGTCCACCAGCCAGCGGCTGCTGTTGCCTTTGGTGTCCTTGTTTTGCAGGAGGGCCACGACTTGGCCCCGAGGCAATGACAGGTCCAGAGTCCTAGAGCCGCTGGTGTTGCTTGTCACCTGGTACAGCTTTCCGGGGCCGTACTTGGTCAGGAGAGCCTGCACCTGGCGTTCAGCTCCTGGAAGGAGTGGCTGGGAGAGGAGGGATAGACAGTGCTTAAGTTAGCGTGTCAAAGCTGGGGCCGATATCTGCCCAACAGGCAGTGGATCAGATGAGGAACACATGCAATTGGTATCCAAGGGAATCTCACCTCATTCAACCTCTAAAATCCCTAGCCTGTTTTGCTCAGTTGGTAGAGCATCAGCCTCAGGACCAAAGAGTCCTGGGTTCGATTCTGGTCAAGGACACATGCCTTGGTTGCAGGCTCCCCTTGACTAGAATCAGACCAGAAATCCTTCAGTTTGCAGCTGATGCTCTAAGCAAAACTGGCTAGAGCAACTATACTTTAATTTTTTAAGACATTCCACAGTGAAAAGAAAATTTAAATGTCTTAATTTTTTTTGTAAATTTTCTTTTTTTTTTAAACCCTTGTTTGAGAATATTTTTATTAATTTTAGAGAGAGAGGAAGGGAGAGGGAGAAAGAGAGAGATAGGCAAACCTGGATTGGTTGCCTCTGGCATGCACCCCGACAAAGGGTTGAACCTGCAACCTGGGTATATGCTCTGACCGGGAATCGAACCCCTGACCTTTCAGTAAACAGGACGATACTCCAACCAACTGACTACACTGGCCAGGACTTAAATGACTTCTTATTTAAATGTTTTACTCATTCTGAATGCTGGTATTTGAAGCAGGTCCAATGAGAAGGTGATAAAGAGACAGTAAATTTTGATGAAAATTTTGAAGAAGTTCCAGGTTTTTGGATGTTAAATTCCACTTGTTCATTATTATGCCTAATTTCACTTAATAATAAAATGTTTGGGCTTTCTTATTCTTGACCCATGGGTTCTGTTCTGATGCTTATTGGCCATGAAGAGCATGGGTGAATGGGAATGGGAGAGAGGGAATCAATTACCTCCACCCCCAGCTCTCAGGGAGAAAGGAGAGGGGGAAAGGGAGAATGTGTCTTGGGTAACAGGAAACATTAAAACTACAAAAAGGGGAGTAAATAGGGGATTGAGCCTCACTTACTTGAACAGTGGGAGGTGTCAGCTCCTTCTCAAAGTTCTCTTGAAAGGAGCGAAGCTGCTGACCGGTCTGGCCCAGTGCATCCTCCACCAGCTTCCTGAAGGCTGGCTCCGAGAGGTGGTGGTGGGGCAGCTGGGTAGGGACAGACACTGTCAGCCCACAGTAAACCCGGTGTGTTAAGATGGGCCTTTGTGTCCTGGTCAGCCATCGTTTTTGTCTGCCTAGTGCCCCACCTTCCTTTGAGGAAGTGTCCTTCTATGGGGTCCAACAGAACTGCCCATCCTGGTGCTCTGGCCACAGAAGTGGCAGTCATGGTACCCTGTAGAGGGCCCCTTGGGAATGCACATGGATGACCTTTAAATTAATGTCAGCTGAGTCTGAGGTGACTGGCATGGCCGTCTCCAGGAAACAGCCTCCCAAAAAGTCGGAGACAGTAATCAGTACCGATTTCTTATCTTATCTCAGTCCTTGTACCAAAAAATGAGGAACTTACCCAGGTCTCAATGAATAGGAACTGGGCACACCTGAAACTCCTTTTGACCTTAAACCCCCTTTGGAAATCAATAAAATACACTGTGTTGTCTGTGGGGGCAGGGGGGGTGGGGGTGGCTGTCCCTCCACCCAGCACCCAGCTTGAACCTATTTCTGTCTTTTTTCTCTTTTTTCTCAATCCCCAGCTCCTCCACTCAGAAACCTGTCCTTCTCCCCTTCCATGAGGGACACGAAAGAAGGAGAAGCACCCCACCGCAACATCCCTTCTCCTAGGCCCATGATTGGCCCAAGGATCGGACAATGGGTCCAAGTGGGGCAATGGATCCACGTGGAGTCTTCCCATCAGATTTAGGCCATGAAAGCTGGGAGTGAGAGGGTCATTCTTCCTTTGGATCCTGAGATGGAAAGGTAAGAGCTTGGAGCTGTTAGGAGCCATCTCTCCCACCACATAGAAAAAGGCCGGCCTGAGAACAGAGCCAATCCAGAGAGGGAAACAGAGCTAGGGGTGGAGTGAAGTTAGCTCCGCGAACATCATCTGTACTGAATGCAGCTGGGTCTCCACCTCCATCCCCTCCAGTTATGCAAGACAGTACATTCCTCTCTATGCCTGACCTGGTCTGGAGCCCGAGGAGTTCTGAACAATGCTTTGTTCAGAGACTTTGGCCTATAGGGATCTCTTGCACTCTGATCAGATAACCTAGGAGTGAGTGAGACCCCACAGCTAACAAACACGCGTCCTCTCTGTTAACAAACTTGCTGCTCTCATTCTGATTTAGAGCCTTCCCCCCCCCCACCCCCCACCCTGTCCCCAGGATGCAGACAGACTGAGGGTCTACCACACAGGTCTTTCCCAGGCTCCAAGGATGAATCCATCAATCACGGACAGGCCCCAACAGTCTACATTACAGGACCCACCAAGACGTGCCCTCTTTCTGCTTTTATAAAGTTGACCTCCCCTACCCGCATCTGTAACACTCCCCAGTCCAGCACATCCTAGCCTGAATACAACAGGATCTGGAGAGAACCCTAGAGGGCGAGAAGAGAATGAAAATATCATCTAATCAGATTTCCCCTCTGCCTTTAAGAAAGATAAAGGCTTCTTCCTGCAGTTGGTTCAGGCCTAATTCAATTCAAAACGAGTATCTGAGAGAGAACTCTAAACTAAATGCTGTGAGGGCCAAAACGAAGAAAAGCCTACAGTCTCAGCCCCCCTCAAAGAGGAGAAACAGCTTTATCCAAGAGGCAGGTTCAGGAAGTGCTAGTCTCCCAGCAGAGTCTCTCTGTTTATGAGTTCCAGAGCCTGGAAATGGGCTGAAGTTCCTGTCCCATCCTTGCTTTTATGATCTGACTCTACTAATGGAAGGATAACAGGCATGAGAGAAATCCAGAAGGTCCCCATGGCCTCCTCCTCAGCACCTGATGGCCTGTTTGGAAGGCTCAACCTCCCTCCTGGCTCCTGCAAAAGACGGCTGAAGGGGCTGCATGGCCCTGCCTGGCCATTCCCCAGAGGTGCCACAGTCCTGGAGTCCTCACCTGGGCCAAGCTGCTCTCTGCCCTCTGCAACACTTGCTTTGCAAGGTCCCTCTGGAGAGCCATGAATGTGCCCAGGATCTGGCCCAGCCACTGCATGGCCAGCTGGTTAAATTGCGGGAGCTCGGCCACCAGCAGGGAATTGAGAGCCTGGTACGTGTGCCGGGCCTCCTCCTCCTCGTAGGTCACGCTGCCCTCCTCCAGCAGCTTCTCTTCCAGCCGCTCAAAGTCCAGAAGTTTGTCCAGACGTTTCTTGATCAGGTTCTGAGGACCAGCCAGTGCTTTGGCCAGGCTGCACAGCGGCTGCCACACCAGGTCTTCCAGCCGCTGCTTCTGTGGGAGAGGGGAGCTTGGGAGTCCAGGAAGGAGGTGGCAGCAGGTGGACACCGGGAAAAGGGAGCTTTGAAGGTAGGCAGGCGGCTCCAGCCCTCCCCCCACTGACTAGCTGTGGCCTCTAGCATGTATCTAACCTGTCTGGGTCTCAGAGTGCCCATCTGAAAAATAGGAATAGTGCTGGTAATGAGTTTAGCAGCGAGCCTGGAATAGAATAGGTATTTAATATGTCACTTCTTTTCTTAAAAAATATATTTTTATTGATGAGAGAGAGAGAGAGAGAGAGAATCATCAATGACGAGAGAGAATCATTGATTGACTATCTCCTGCATACCTTCTACTGGGGATCAAGCCTGAAATCCAGGCATGTACCCTTGATTAGAAATGAACCTGAGACCTTTCAGTCCGCAGGCTGATGCTCTATCCACTGAGCCAAATCAGCTAGGGCTAATATGTCACTTCTTTTTTTTTTTTTTTTTTAATATATTTTTTATTGATTTTGTACAGAGAGGAAGGGAGAGAGATAGAGAGTTAGAAACATCGATGAGAGAGAGTCATCGATCAGCTGCCTCTTGCACACCCCCTACTGGGGATATGCCCGCAACCAAGGTACATGCCCTTGACCAGAATCAAACCCGGGACCTTTCAGTCCCCAAGCCGACGCTCTATCCATTGAGCCAAACCGGTTTCGGCTGGGCTAATATGTCACTTCTTAATATCGTTACTATGCTTGGATATTGAAAAAGATTTTGTATAGAGTGGTGGTCAACAGCACAGACTTTGAGGCTCAGATCCAAGCTTGTCACCGATCATCAGAATAACGTGGGTGGCCAGCCCCTCCGAGCCTCAGGTGTCATTTGCAGAATGGGGCTATTAATAGTATCTACCCCTAAGCCCGAAAACAGTGTTGTGAGGATTGAATGAGGTGAAGAATGCGAAGGGCTTAGCTCAGTGCCTGGCAGACAGTAGGCTCAGTAAACATTAGCTGGGGCTATTTTTATCATTAAACACACTAAAAATAATCTCTGCCTTGCTGACTACCCAGGGTAATTATGGATGTGACAATGTGTGAAGGACCTGACATCTAAATATTACCCTTATAGGTTCTGTCACCTCCCCAAAAAAGAAAGAGGAAGGGAGAAATTCCACTCACAAACTCAGGGAAGGCCTGGAGCTGAAGGTCTCTTGCCAGGTTGCAATACTGCCCCACAGGCCCCGCGGGCATGTCCAGGTCATACTGCTGCGGCCGGAAGCGGAGGAAAGCCTGGACCAGAACAAATGAGAGACAGAAAATCATGACCCGTCACAGACATCTCACACCTGCATCCCCTCCGCCGGACCCCTGAAGAGGCAGTCCAGGCCATCTGCACGTCCCCTGTGACAGGGAAGCACACCCTATTCCATCCTTGGAAAACTTGTTGATTAGACAGTTCCTCCTAGACTAAGCTGAGTCCAGCTGGCATGGCTCAGTGGGTGAGCCTCGACCAAGAACCATGAGGTCACAGTTCAATCATCAGTCAGGGGACATGTCTGGGTTGGAGGATCGATCCCCCGTAGGGGCATGCAGGAGGCAGCTGATAAATTATTCTCTCTCATCATTGATGTTTCTATCTCACTTTCCCTTTCCCTTCCTCTCTGAAATCAATAAAAATGTATATATTTTTTTAAAAACAAGAGAGAGAAAGAGAGAGAGAGAGAGAGAGAGAGAGAGAGAGACTGACTAAGCTGACATCTTTCTCCCTATTCCAGCCCTTCCCAAATTCACACATCTGCACACCTCCCTTAGGATTTTTTTTTTGCCATGTCTATATTCCACACTTTTTTTTTATATTAACACTTTTCTTTAAATCAACTAAGCATTCCTACTTAAAACAATGCATTTAAAAAAAAACAAACACCTTAGGACACTACCCTAAAGGGAAAACCAGTAATAACTGCCATAAATAGTCATGGAAGAATAATTGCTGTGAAACAAAATTATTAAGCCTGCCTGGATGTCACTGATGGCTGCAGGCTCCGAGCCCAAGACTGCCTCTGCCGTGTTAGCAGCATGCCAGCCAGGGAGGCTTTTCCTGGACTCAGAGGAGGAACAGAGAGAACCATTCTGTCCCTGTGGGATTCCATGTAACCCTGGGTCTGTCCCATAAGTCCTGCCTCCGGGAAAACGCAGCCCGAGAGCCTCCAAACATGGCCCTCCCCCACAAAGCCAGACACGCCTCTCCTGTGCCTCTGGCCTCTCTCCCTCGGGTCCTGAGTGTTTCCCTTGCTTCTCCCGGTGCTGATCGGATCCTTCCACTGGGGGGCCAGGATGAAGCAGGAACAAGCAGGGAGATGTGTCCACAGAGGAGTGAGACATGACCACCCTCCTCCTTGTATGTACTTCCGGGAATGCCACCCCAAGTCCCATTATCTAAATAGCCCATTGTCGTATGACCAAAGCTGGGTTTGAGCACATGGACATGCCTGAGAGCAAAGCCACGTAAGAGGGACACAGGAGATGGAATGAGTCAGCATCGGTGACAGGAATGAGCAGGGGATTTGGGCGCAAGGGAAATAACATGCCAGATGGGCATGCCAGCTGCTGTTCCTGTGGGCTGCATTCAGTTTATAGAAATATATTTCCTCGGGCCTGAATAACACTTACATTTTCATTTCATGAGCTGTTCCCATGGGCACATTGTGAGATTTCACCTAAAAGTCTGAATTTCCAGTTTTCTTTTTTTTCTTACAATCAGAACTGGCTGACCAGGGCTCACAGCAACCACTCCCCTGAGCCAAGGAATAAATGCCCCTTTAAAATGTATTCATTCATTTGTTCATTCAGTCATTCAAATTCCAAACATTATTACGTATTGATTTAATTACCAAAAAGGCCTCATAAACAGACATTAGGCTTTGTATACACGGACACTTCACTCAGTAATGTTACCTACTTGGCCCCTCGCCCTGCTCTGGGTGCTAGTCTGACAGGGTTCTTCTGAGAGCTCTGACCCCAGTGAATTTTTATCCTGCCTAGTTGGAACCCCAACCCCTGACAGCTCAGTGGGCTCAGAAGCTGCCCCTGTCTATGGCCTGTCGGCTGAGGAGTGCCTGCCCCTGGGCCCGCTTCTGGCCTGCAGCTGAGGGAAGACCTCTTCCATTTGGTTCCTGCAGCTGGTACCTTTGCCAGCTTGTCGATGGGCCCTGCACGCCTTCTGCCCAGGGATCCCAACCCAGCCCCTCCCATTATTAACTGCAGCCTGCTCACCTCCAGATTGTCCAGGTAAGCTGCCACATTGTTCTTCAGCTCAGTCACACACAGCGACACCCAGTGGAACCTCTCTTCCAAGTCATCAAATTCCTTGTCTTCTGTCTGAGAGTCAAGTTATTCTTGTGAGAGCCATGAAAATCCACAAGGGGGCAGTGTGCACCACATACCTGCATCCTCAAGTTTTCACTGGGGACCACCTTTCCTCAGATCTGCCCCAAAGCTGAGTGGGACAGTTAGAGGCAGGGAGTGCAACTTAGTGGTTTTGTATTCAGACCACAGAATCAAATACACAAGCATATGAGTCCTGGTTCCCCTGCTTCCAAGCTGTGTGACCTTGGGCAGGTGTTTTACCCTCTCTGAGACTCTCATCTGCAAAATGGGGGGGGAAGGGGGAGGGAGAATAGAAACACCAACTTTATGTATGGACCAAGCAGTGCCTGGTTCACAGTGAGTACTTAATCAACCTCAGCTGCTATTGGCAGCCATCAATCAAAGCTGGTTCCAGCCAAAACTGGTTTGGCTCAGTGGATGGAGCATCTGTCTGCCGACTGAAGAGTCCCGGATTCGATTCCGGTCAAGGGCATGTACAGTGGTTGCAGGCACATCCCCAGTGGGGGGTGTGCAGGAGGCAGCTGGTTGATGACTCTCTCTCATCGACGTTTCTAACTCTCTATCCCTCTCCTTTCCTCTCTGTAAAATATCAATAAAAAAAATAAAGTTGACTTGAAAAAAAATTAAAAAAAAAAAAAAGCTGGTTCCATGCCCAGACCCAGAGATTAGCTCTGCTATCTGTGTAAAGAGGTCCCAGAGAGAGAGCAGTACAAGGTGCAGTGGAGAAACCCTCCCCCAGGCTCCACAGAATCAAGTGGGATGCCAACTCTGCCTATACCTGGCTATCAATGCTGGGAAGTCATTCCCTCCCTTAGCCTCAGTTTCCTTATCTCTGAAAGCGCTCTAAGCACCCTGACCCATGCCTTGCACAGTGTTGTTTGTCCCTTGAGATGCGACCCTTCCTCCTGCCCAAGCTCACCCTCAACACGAGCCCCGCCTCCTGCTTCAGCAGCTGGCTCAGCCGGGTGGTCTTCTTGGAGAGGGTGTGCGTGTTGATGCGGGCCAGCCGCTCCCGGAGGGTAAGATGCTCCACTTTGGTGTACCTGGAAGCTGCACCGACAGAGAGGGAGGGCGTGGGGACAGAGGCGGAGGCAGGAAAGCAAGCATCCAGCACAGCTGGCTAGGCACCTGACTGGGCCCTCTTCTCAACATCAGGGTCACACCCATGAAAAACTTGTGAGTCAGGGAACACAGACAGGCTGAGCCCTCACTCCGAGGTGTGAGCCCCGGCTGAGCAGCCTGCTTGACTTGGATAAGTCGCCCCTCTCAAGTCTCAGTTTCCTTATCTGTAAATGAGGTCAGCCAGCTCGTGGGATTGCTGGGAGGAGCACCTAAGATGATAAGTCTAAATCTACTTTCTAAAGAAGAAGCCAAGTGAGAGGTGATTTGCCTGAGGTCCCTCAGTCGCGGTTAGTCCTACTCCTGGCTCAGAACTTCCTGCTGATTGCCTGACCCCAAGCCTGAGTTTTAAACCTGGCTCTGTCCCTTATCAGCTCTGTGACCTGGAGCAAATGACTAACGCTTCCAGTTTACCCAACTGTGATATAAGACTAGCAGTGCCAGCCTCGAGGATCAAACAAGATAATAAATGAAAACCATGTCCTAGTTAGCCCTTAGTATTAAGCCTTAGCTAAATTATTATACTGTCTCAGTTGTGCAAATGAGTTTCTCTCTCCTTAGGACATTGCTTTATTTCCCCCCCAAACCTTTCTGCTTTAACAATCTGAGACGCAGGAAAAAAGCCATGTGAGGACACAGAGAGAAGGTGGTCTCTACAACCTGGAAGAGAGCTCTCACCAGGAACCAGCCCTGAGAGCACTTTGATCTTAGACTTCTAGCCTCTGGAACTATGAGAAAATAAATGTTGTTTAAGCCATCAAAAAAAAAAAAAAAAAATCTGAGAGGCAGGACCCCACTTATCCCCCTTCCCGGCCTAGGTATGTACACAGCCCTTTTCCTCCCTGCCCCCCTCTTCCCCAGTCATATCTCCTCCACAGTATAGCAGCCATGTGGTTTGGATGGAACTGCTCCCACTTTAGTTCAAGGGGTGGGTGCTAAGTGCTATAAACCAATCCGTATAATCCCATCCCCTTGGTGACAGTGATTGGCTCAAAGAACTAAGCCAATCAGCTCATGGCATTCCCCTAACCATAGTGATTGGTTCAGGGTGAGCACATGACCCAAGTGGATTCTATCAGAGTGAAGCTCCAGTTTAATTTTTATGGCTAAGAGGAAAAAGGCCCAGTCTTATCTTGGGGGGTGTGATATGCAGATGTGTGTCTTTTTTTTTTTTTTAATATATTTTATTGATTTTTTACAGAAAGAAGAGTTAGAATTATCAATGAGAGAGATTCATCGATCAGCTGCCTCTTGCACACCCCCTACTGGGGATGTGCCTGCAACCAAGGTACATGCCCTTGACCGGAATCGAACCTGGGGACCTTTCAGTCCACAGGCTGACGCTCTATCCACTGAGCCAAACCAGTTTCAGCCAGATGTGTGCCTTGAAATAGCAACAGCCATGTAGTGCTATGAGGGAGGCTATCTGAAGATGAAGGTGACACTCAGTAAAGAACAGAGACAAGAGAATTATAGGGAAACTGACCCAGCAACCTGATCAAACCCCACCCAAAGGCCACTTACCTCCGGACTTGTGATTACATAAGCTACTACCTGCCCTTCATTGGGGAAGCAAATCTGATATGAGCTTTTTATAACAGGAAGTATGCTCACTGATGTACCCTCTAAATTCCCCAAGATCTTACCCACTTCCTTGCGCCTCTTGTACTCGTTGATGTTGGTGTTCACATCCTGGAGGGCAGAGGTAGCCCTCTGGAGGACAGAATAGGCACTGGCATTGGGAAGTGTGTTCTCCAGAATTTTCTGCAGCAACAGTGGGTACTTGGTAATCCTCTGCAAAGGGATGACCAGTAAGAAACTGAGGCCTGAGGGTCCAGCTTGTGGCCTGAGGGAGAAGGCTGGTATTAGGTAGGTAAAGCCCACCCTTGGGGGCATCAAGGGGCCTGCCATTAAACTCACTGAGGGCTCTCAGACAAGTCTCTTCCTTCTGTGGCTCTCAGTTCCCTCATCTGTAATGTGTGAGGTCCAGAATTTAGATGGATGCTGCTGGTTTTCATTTTATCCCCTTTATGGACCTTGGTTCCCCATCTGCACCAAACCCAATGATCAGCTTTGTACCCTCAGCTTATTCATTCACCCAACAGCAAGCACAGATGGCCACTCCCTCTTTACCAAAACACTTTGATTTGGCCGAAACCAGGTTGGCTCAGTGGATAGAGCATCAGCCTGCAGACTGAAGGGTCCCAGGTTCGATTCCGGTCAAGGGCATGTATGTACCTTGGATGCAGGCACATCCCCAGTAGGGGGTGTGCAGGAGGTGGCTGATCAATATTTCTCTCTCCAATGTTTCTAGCTCTCTCTCTCCCTGCCTCTCTGTAAAAAATCAATAAAATATATTTTTTTAAAGAAAAAGAAAGAAAGAAAGAAAGAAAGAAAGAAAGAAAGAAAGAAAGAAAGAAAGAAAGACTTTGATTAGGCCTCAGAGACTCCCTCTGTCCATCTCCTAATCCACAGATCCACAGACTGCTCTCTTGGCCAACTCTGCTGGCCTCTCTCCAAGGCTGGGGTGCTCTGGGGCCTCCTCTCCTCCCGCTTCACCCACTCTCTTACTGACTTCATTTAGCCCTATGGCTTTAAACACATCCAAAACTCAGATCTTCATTTTTAACTTCTGCCTGGAGTTCCAGATTCCCATGGCCTATTTAATATCTCCACTTGGAAATGTCCCAAGCACAACTCTCTATATTGGGCATTCACATGATATGCCATTTAATAAAAATGATTCTGCTACTTCACAAAAGAAACGCCTTTAAAATTATAGGAGCTTAATATTCAGCGATGCATTTGAAATATGTAAGGGAAAAATCATAACATCTGTATTTTCCTTTAAATAGTTTAGCATAAAAATAGATGAAGCAGACAGCAAAAGATTAACACTGGTTCATTTCAGGTAGTGGGTATGTGAGTGTTCATTAAATTCTTCTATTTTTCTATATGTTTGAAATTTGTCATCAGAAAAAGTAAAAAATAAATACAGGAGCTAATAGTGCTAAGGTCCCTTTTGGAGCCTGGTTCATGACTGGATGTCTCTCTCTCCAATCCCCTTTTGATGATGGCTGGTATTTGCAGAAAAAGTGCCCAAGTCAACGGCACTTGGGACATCCAGCAGTTTTTCCTTGACCATGACCCGTAGCCCTCAGCCCTGGCTTTCAAGAAACTCAAGAGGGTTCCAAACTTCAATGTCCAAGCATGCCTCCTCCATGAAGACTCACAAGTGCTGCTCATGACCATTCTCTGGCCGCCCTTTCTATGAGACCTTAGCCTCTTGCTCTTTTTCCTAAGGAAGAAGCTCCAGACTAAATGGCCAGGAAAGCTCAGCCATGAGGCTAAATATAGGCGAGCAGGTGGGAACCCCCCACTGCCTTGCAGGGAGTGGACAGTAGGATCAAACCTTCAGGACACACCTACGCAGACCATCTGCTCTCACCAAAGGTTTCCTAGTGCTTGGCTGACCTCGGGCAAGGGAGGTGGAAGCAATGGCCAGATTTTGGCAAAATTTGTCCTCTGGCTTTACTTTCCATAGGAAAAAGCCAACTGTTCATGAGGACAACTGTCACTTCACGAATCAGACAGCAGGGGGTCCTCAAAGAGATGACCACATCTCTTCTCTGCAATTGTCAAGTAACCCTGGCACCGCAGAGTAACGGCAGCCTCTTACCTATAAGGCTTTCCTAAGGTAATTGGGAGAAAAATTTGTATGCAGCCTTTCAGAAGGCAACAAAAATGACAAGATAATACCCAGAACTAGGGGGATGGGAGGAAATAGTCCCTCTTGGTGGGAGTATCAATTAGTGAGATCTCTTTGGATTGCAGTTTGGCCGTACATGAAATGTACAAACCCTTTGTTCCATCAGTCTTACTTTAGTAATCTACCCACATAAATATCAACGCATGTGAGCAAATTAGAAGTTATTCAGCAACTATATTTATGACAGTAAAAATTTGGTAACAACTCAAATATCTACCAATAGGATAATGGTTAAATAAACCATAAACCTGCCCTGGAAAAGAACTCAATGCAGCTATTATATATATATTTGAATTAGCTAGTATATGAATAAAGGAATTATGCAAAGATCCATTACAATGTTTTAAGTGGTTACCTTAACCTTGGGGATTGGAGTTGAAATTGAGTGGATAAAGGAGGAAGATTGGGAAGATCATTTTTACTGTATAAATTTGAATGTTTTAAAGATTTTTGAACCATGTGACTATGTTACCCATCCAAAATTTCAATTTAGAAAATTGTTCTCTACATATATCTACCTGCAGCTTCCATCCACTGGTGTCAGCTCTGGCTGTGATGCCACCAAGGCAAATCTGAGTCTTTTCCATGGGGCAGAACTTCAGCCATCTGTAGAGAGGCCTCTCCAGGTGTTACAGGCCTGCTTCCTAACACTGTTGCTGATAGCATGTGGTTCCCCCGACCTCCCTGCCTTTCCTATGCTAGTCAAAAAGGATGTTCACCAAACGTCTATGCTTCTCCACTCCTAGACACATGGCAGAACAGCAAATCCTGGCCTCCTGGTAGTTGGATAAAGCTATGGGATTAGTTCTGGCCCATGAGTTATGAGAAGCGATGGATATCATTTCTAAGCTGGAGCATTCGGTTACCAGCATTAAACCCTCCAGAGTTCCTTTTTCCTTTGCCACAATTCGTGACAAAATTCTGACCTGTGGCTGCTGTCAGCTTGGATCCCAGAGTGAGGATAGTGCAGAGCCCAAGTCACTCTGCAAGGAGGAAAAGGAAGGCATAAACCTTTGTGGTCTGAAGCCATTGAGAGTTGGGAGTTGTTTGGTTCTGTAACATAGCCCAGCATAGCCCTTGCTGAGACACTCCTGAAGCTGTGTGAGCAGCACCAAATGGAGGTGAGATATCAACTGTCTCTGGCCTTGGGGTCCATGCAAATTCTCACTTGTCATACTACTCACACCACTGCCTCGATGATGGCCTGGATCTCCCGCTGCAGCTCTGGCTCCCTTCGGTACGACTCCACCAGCAGCAAGGCCTGGTCATAGTTGGCACAGTAGACCTTATAGACTCGCTCCAATTCCTCTTGGAATTCCAGGAACAAGTTACCTGACAGTGGAAAAGCAACAAGAAGTTCACAAAGGCATGTCTGTGTGGCCCTTGCTTGGGACAGGGAGGGAGTGAGGAAGACAACTGCCAGCTTACTCCACTTTCTCGCCTTGGGCAAGTTACCTCATCTTCCTGAGTTTCCATTCGTTTCATTTTACTCCCATCATTTTGCCAGAAGGACTGGGTGACAGAATGATGCCGAGTTCAGGCTAATGCACTGTGAGTGCTTAACAAATGGTAGCTATAATTAGAGCAATAGTATTGATAAGACTCATATTTGTAAGGTGCTTTACAGTTGACAAAATATGCTCATCTTATGCCTTTACAGGGACTGGGTGTGCCAAATACAACCACTAAGGCACTAAGCAAGCTATGTAGCACAGACATGCGATAGCACAGCCCAGGAAATGACGGGCATGGATGGGTTTCGGGCTCAGGGAGAAGTAGGGCCAGATTTCCAGTCAGCCCTTTTCCAGTTGTGCAACCTGGTGGGTTGGACTAGATATTATTTGAGTGTCCTGCCAGCTCTGACATGCTAGGTTTCAAGGGTTCCAAACCCAGACTCCCATTGAGCTGCATTTCCCTGAAACTCTGGACACCATTCAGCAATGACCCCACACTGAGGACAACTCCACAGGAACCTAAGGCTGACAGCTGCCCTGTCTTTTGCTTACCAATGAGCTGCACTTGTTTCTCCTCCATGGCGTCTGTCCCCTGCAGATCCTGAAGAAATCTGCTGTTCACCTTGATGATGTCATCGATGTTTGAGAACAACACATCCAGATCTCCCTGTGGCAGCTGGAGGGAACAAGGAAGCCATGGGAGGTTGCTGGGAGGTCAATGGAGGGACTTGATTTGTAGGCTTTGGGGAACAGTCCAGAACACTCACGCCCTCAGGGGCCCATCACTCTTGGGAAGATTGCCTCAGTGGAATGTTTGCAAGGACTTTGCAATTTTTTAAATTAGGTTATTTCCATTATTCTACAAGAGAGGAAAGGGCACTCCTCATGGAAGGAAAGCTAAGCTGGGGTTTTACCCTGAGTCTGCTGCCAACTATCATTTTTCTTCCCTCAGTTTCCCCATCTGTCATAAAAGGGTGGAAAATTGGATTTCTTTCCAGTTCTGATATACATGACACCTCCATAATGACCTTGAGATGTGTTCTGAACTCCAGCCCCTATTAACTAGGTTATACCACTGTTATAAAGGATGCTGGGTCCTGGCCAAATTGGCTCAATGGTTGGAGCATCGACTCTCAGACCAAACGGTCTCGGATTCAATTCCCAGTGGGGGCACTTGTGGGGAGGCAAACAATCAATGTCTTAATCTCTCTCACATCGATGTTTCTCTCTCTCCCTCTTCTTCTCTCCTTTCCACTCTCTGAAAATCAATGAAAAAATATCCTCAGGTGAGAATTTAAAAAAAAAAAAAAAAAGGATGCTGGACATTTATAGGGTGTTCCAAAAATATGTATACACACTTTGAATAATTATGAAGGCAGTGTTTATTCAAATACATTTCATTTTAAAAATTGAGCTCTCAGCTATTAAAATATGTATACATTTTGGGGGGATATCCTATATTTATGTGCAGGGATATACACAGGAGATAGATATGTAGAGATGTCCTGAATGCATATCAAAGTGAGAAAAACGACCTGTGGAAAAATACCTAGAATACGATCTTATTTTTTTTTTCAAATAAGTAATAATCTATTCTTGTTTGTTTTATACCTACAGGAAAAAATCTTAATTTTTGGAGAGTAAAATAGTAGAGAATTTTCACCTTCTACATTACCTATGTTAGTATTTCATTCATTTAAAAAACACTAATTGTAGCCCATTATTTATATGTCAAGAGCTGGTTTGACTCAGTGGATAGAGCGTTGGCCTACAGACTGAAGGATCCCAGATTCTATTCCAGTCAAGGGCACATGCCCCACTGCAGGCTCAAGCCCCAGTAGGCAGGAGGCAGCCAATCAATGATTCTCTCTCATCACTGATGTTTCTATCTCTCCTTTTCCCTTCCTTCTCTGAAATCAATAAAAATATTTTTTTAAAAAGAACTGAGATATATTAAACTAAGTGGTCTTTCTTTTCAAGGAGTTTACATGTTAGGGAATTCTTGAAGTTTTATAGAGAAAGCTTGTATTATTTCTGCATTCAGGGAGAAAAAGGCATAAAAATGAGTACTAATGCCCAGACTGGTTTGGCTCAGTGGATAGAGCATCAGCCTGCGGACTGAAAGGTCACAGGTTCGATTCTGGTCAAGGGCATGTACCTTGGTTGCAGGCACATCCCTGGTGGGGAGTGTGCAAGAGGCAGCTGATCAATGATTCTCTCCAATCGATATTTCTAACTCTCTGTCCCTCTCTCTTCCTCTCTGTTAAAAATCAATAAATTATATATTTTTTAAAAATAAATTTAAAAAAATGAGTACTAAAATAGAAAGCTAGCATAGTAATAACCTCTCCCTCCCACCATCCCCCAAATGAGACAATGAGAATGTAGGTCGGTTTAAGCAATCTGCTCTAAACTTGATGAAGGGCTATTTTACCTATTAGCTCACTTAATCCCTGAGGTGATTATCCCTCTCCCCATTCAGCAGATGAACACACTAAGGCTCCAGGCCTTGCTGAACGTTCCATGGCCAATAAATGGAAGTAAAGAACTTCACATCCACCATGACTTTCCATCCACCAAGCGTGTTCCAGGAGCCACTGTGAGAACCGAGGACCCATTTTGCCTCCAGAAAGACAGGCTGTGTGTGGTTCTGCCCAGGTACCTGCTTCAGGCGACTCCTGATGTCCAAGGCGCAGAGCCGGAGCATGTGCAAGTAGGAGACCTCGGTGTCAATGAGCTCCCTGATGGCCAGCCTCTGGTGGACTGAACACCTGTCCTCAGAGACCCGGCTTTCTCCATCCGGACTCTCTGTCCTGGAGGATGGCTCATCGGCCCCACGATCGGCCATGCCAGCAGGTTCTGGGGAAGACAAGCACATGCCAACTCATTTCCAGGAGCTCTCCTGGGACATGCTGTCTCTAATCCAAAGCTAACTATTCACCCAGCAGCCAGGAAACATCTTCAGCTGCGCAGAGTCAAGATGAACTGTGTGTTAGCATTTGTGGGAGGTATCTGAACAACCTTAAAAGGTAGGACACAACTCAGGACATGGTTGGCATTTTAAATTCATGGCCAAGGACAATGTGCTTGTCTGGCTTTTCTTCTATTTTTTTTGCCCCAGCTCTTGACCCGGATTTCTGTATCTGGTTCAGCTGAGTCAGTCTCTCTTTCTCTCTCTCTCTCTCTCAACCCCACCCATACTCCAAGTCCTCCTCTCTTGACCCCTGTCTTCCCCATGCAGGCCATATTACATGTCATTTAGGCTATTTCCACAGCCTCCAAGATCAACTTCCTATATCCAAACCCCACTCCCACCTGCTGCCTCCTACACCTATTCATCCTGGACAAGGTTCCAGTTTAAATTTCCTGAAAGCAAGCTTGTAACTACAGTAGTCCCTGTTGTGAGATGTCTCCTGTGGCTCAGGGTCCCGCTCCAATCTCATTTTCCCCTTCCTAGACCACTCCAGCAAAAAGTTACATGCAGTTCTCCATACATGTATGGTCGCTTCTGGCCTCCTCTGCTTTTGCACCTGCTGGGCGCCCTCCTGTCTATATCCTCCAACACTCACCTTCTCTGAGGCCTTTCCTGTCTTCCCAGCTGGATGTACCTTCTTTTTTTCTTTTTTCTTTTTTTAATATATTTTATTGATTTTTCACAGAGAGGAAGAGAGAGGGATAGAGAGCCAGAAACATCGATGAGAGAGAAACATCAACCAGCTGCCTCCTGCACACCCCCTACTAGGGATGTGCCAGCAACCAAGGTACACGCCCCTGACCAGAATGGAACCCGAGACCCTTCAGTCCCAGACCGACGCTCTATCCACTGAGCCAAACTGGTCTCGGCGGGATGTACCTTCTTTATCTCCAAGTTTAAAAAACATAAATGGCAGCCCTCCCTACCACAAAATATCAAAATGCTAGATCAGTTAAAACAAGCTTCCTTTTTGCTGTATGGCACGGCTTGCAAGAGAGTAAAGGAAATCAGCAGGGCAGGAGCAGCTGAGCTGTGCAGCTGTCCCAGTGGCTGGAGTGGGCAGGGCAGAGGGCATTGCCAAGCTCAGTGAACTAGGGATTCAGGCAGTAGTGCCCAGGCAGGATCAAGAGACAGTCCCCTTCACAGAACTGGGGTTCCCAAGAAATGGTGGATCTAAAAAACAAAACAGCTGAAACCAGTTTGGCTCAGTGGTAGAGCATCGGTCTGCGGACTGAAAGGTCCCAGGTTCGATTCCGGTCAAGGGCATGTACATTGGTTGCGGGCACATCCCCGGTAGCGGGTGTGCAAGAGGCAGCTGATCGATGTTTCTCTCTCATCAACATTTCTAACTCTCTTTCCCTCTCCCTTCCTCTCTGTAAAAAATCAATAAAATATATTATAAAAATAAAAAATAATAAATAAATAAATAAACACCATTCCCCAACCCACACAGGCCCTTCCTGTAGTATTACTCAGAGATTCATTCCTGTAGTACTGCTCAGAGACCCACTCTGTGGCCTGCTCCCCCAGCTCCTCACTAATTTGGTATACATGTAATGCCCTCCGGTAAACCCCTTTCTGGCTGAAAATAAATGGCTTGTGTTCTCTCCAACCAAACCCTGATTAATACAGGTAAGAACAAGTAATACACAAAAGAAAAAATTTAAATAGCTAATACACAGTTGAAAATATGCTCAATTCACTAATAACTAGATAAATATGAATAATTAAAATGACAATGAAACATTATTTCACTCCCATCAAATTGGCAAAATATAAAAATAAAATGTTAGTGATACTGTAGATGGAAAAATTGGTTGAAGGGTACATGGAACCTCTGTATTATTTCTTACATCAACATATGAGTTTATAAGTATTCCAAAATTAAAAGTTTTTTTTAAAAGTCTCAGCTAGCATTAAATCCCCTTTGATACTCCTCCTAATCCCATTCCTCTGTCACCTTTTCCAGAAGTTACTACTATCCTGAATTATCTGAAGAAACCCAAAACACTGATTTGAAAAGACATATGCATCCCTATGTTCACTGAAGCATTATTTACAATAGCCAAGATATGGAAGCCACCCAAGTGTCCATTGATAGATGTGGTACATACACACAATAAAATATTACTCAGCCAAAGAAAAGAATGAAATCTTGCCATCTGTGACAACATGCATGGGTCTAGAGGGTATTATGTTAAGTGGAAGGAAATCAGACAGAAAACGATAAATGCCATATATGATTTCATTTTTATGTAAAAAATAAATGCATAAATAAACAAACAGAAACAAACAAAGACACAGAGAACATTTTGCAAGTTGCCAGATGGGAAGGGGGGCCAAGGGTCTGGCTGAAAATAAGAGATTAAGACATGCAAACTGCCAGCTATAAAAACAGTCACAGGGATGTAAAGTTCATGAATATAGTCAATAATATTGTCATAACTATGTATGGAGTCAGATGGGTATTAGACTTATCAGAGTGATCACTTCGTAAGTTATATGTCTGATCACTATTGCATACATGAAGCTAATATAATATTGTATGTCAATTGTACTTAAAAAACAATACACTATTTTAAAAAGATAATATCACACCAGGAGATTGACATTGATGGTCAAAATACAGTCCAGTTACATCACAAAGATCCTTAATGTTGCCTTTCACCCTTGGCACCAGCCCCATGCCATCCTTTACCCCTGACAACCAGGAATCTGTTCTCCATTTCTGCATTTCAAGAATGTATGTAACCATACAGTATGTATATATGAACCACACAGTATGGAGCCTTTGGGACTGACTTTATTAAATCAGCACAATTCCCTGGAGATTCCTATAAGTTGTTAGGTGTATCAATAGTTCCTTTTTATTGCTGAGCATCTAAGGTGTTTTATTCGTTTTTAAAAACTAAAATAAATATGGCAAAATGTTAAAATTAAACAAAACTAGGTGGAAAGATCATAGGCATTTGTTTACTGTTCTTTGTTCTTGTCTTGTTGGTTAAAAATATTTCCTAATATTTAAAGTGGCATGCATCCCATTCAGCCTTGTACTTGGGTTATTTAAGGCTACGCCTCATCTTCCTGGCTAGACACTAAGCTCTTAGAGATAAGATGAGCACCAATTCATCTTATGTCCTCCTCTATGCCTCATGTTTGCATGCATAAACGGTCCTTTTGGATGCATTAGTAGCAGAAGTTTCTGTTCTGTGCCATAAACTGAGTGTTTGAGGACAGCTGATCAGATGGCAAAGGGCCTAGAAAAGTCCTGGAACACATCTGTTGCTACACAGATCTATTCCAGCTTCTAATCACCGCCTGTGGTCTGCTGAGCTGTCCCTGGCCAGAATCACTGCCATTCACCACCCCGTGCCCAGCTTCTCTAGAAAGATCCCCATAGGATTTCAGGAGAACTTCTCAGATCCCACTCTTCATAACTGTTGCTACATAAACAAAAACCATATATAATACTTTATAGGGAACTTCTAAATATTAAAAATAGCATTAATCTGTAGTTAGTTAATTGCAATCTAGACCATCAAGCAGGTCTGGCAAAAGCTCTCAATAGCAACTATCTGTTTTATAGACTTGCCTAGTCCAGACATCTTCTAGAAATGTTTTATTTTGTTTTTAAAAAACAGAAGGTAGATCAGTGTTATAGGGGCTTAAGGCATGGTGGCTACAGGGTGCAGGGTTTCTTTTGGGGGTGATAAAAAGGTTCTACATCTGTTACGGTGATGTTGCACAACTCAGTGCCTACTCTAAAAACCACTGATTTGTACACTTTAAATGGGTGAATTATCTGATGTGAATTAAATTGCAATAAAGCTGTTACCAAAAAAATATTCTCTGCTGGCAAGGATATGGAGAAACTGGCTCTCTCATAGGTTGTTGGTAGGAATGTGAAATGGTACAGCCACCCTGGCTGGTGTGGCCAAGAACTAGAAACAACGAAATGTTTTTATAGGTACATATAATAGGTGAATGGTGGGTTTTTTTTAATGTGATAAATCCAATATCACTGAATACTCAGAAGTAAAGTGAACCATTGATACACAGCAACAATGTGGGTGGCTCTTGAGGGTGATCATGCTGCCTGAAACAAATCAGTCTGAAATGGCTACATATTGTGTGACTCCATACATGTAATATACAAAATTATAGAGAAAGAGAACAGCGTAGTGGCCATCTTGTTAGGGATGAGGGTGAAGAGCAGGTAACTGTTCTATTAAAACACAGCACCAGAATGGACTTTGTGATGATAGAACAGCTCTATTCTCTTAACTGAGGTGATTACACACGTAATAAAATAGAACCATCGTCACATATATAGTACACCAATTTCCTGGTTTTGCTATTGTGCGATATTTAAGTTGTAACCATTGGAGGAAGCTGCAGAAGAGGACACACAACCTCACTGTACCAGCCTTACAACTTCATGTTGATCTAAAACTGTTTCAAAAGAATTAAAAATAAACAGAATCATCTATAGCTTAAGTGATCCACTATCTTTGCAACATTCTCAGGATAAATGCAGCTTAAAAGCCCTGGAGAGCAGGCCGGATGCCCTTGTTCCTTTTCCTGGTGGGCGTAGTAGGGAGGCTTGCCTTGGAGAACACACTCAGGGAAATATGGTTTTCCCTACAGTCCAGTCCACGCCCCATCCTGAGATCGCCTTGATGCCCTGTGAGAGCCAAACAGGAACTAAAATCGGTCTGGCAGCAACTGCTATTGAATCTAAGAGAGGATGATAAAACAGTTAACTCGTCCTAACCGGTTTAGCTCAGTGGATAGAGCATAGGGTCCCAAGTTCGATTCCGGTCAAGGGCATGTATCTTGGTTGCGGGCACATCCCCAGTAGGGAGTGTGCAGGA